TCTGATATCTCTTGGATGGATTTCTTCTTTTGTTTCAGCCTCAGGATGGTCTGTTTCACCTCCATCGAGAGCTCCTTTGAGCGCATGTTTTGCGTTCACATGGACAGCTTCAAAATGCAAACAACACACCTGGAATCAACTCCAGACCTTTTAACTGCTTAGTTGATGACAGGTTAACGAGGAATGAGTGCATGCAGCCTTGTTTGTTTGTTTTTTTGCAGCCTTCAGAGTCAACTGTCCAATTACTTTTGGTCCCTTGAAAAAGAGGCAGCTACATATTAAAAAGCTGTAATTCCTAAACCCTTGCTCCAATTTGGATGTGAATACTCTCAAATTACAGCTGAGAGTCTGCACTTTAAGCTGATACTTATTATATAATTGTATCCTGAATATGTTTTCGTTAACAGCTAAAATAACAAAACTTGTCACTGTCCAAATACTTTTGGGCCTAACTGTATGTTCTTCATAGGAAATAACTACATGAAATGTCCTATTGCATTAAGTACAATACGGTGATTTGACGAAGTTACTCACCAAGGCTCCAGTAGGTGGCAATGTGTCTTCTTTTTATTTCGACCTCAGTTCTCTGGCGCATAACTTTTCATATAAAGTAGGTCTAGAAAAGAAGTTCCACTGGAGACAAAAAAAATCACTTAGAAAATGTGATACTCTTGCCTTGACAGCAGGGTTGTGTTTTTGACAAACACAACCCACACAATAAAAAACTTAAATGGTTTACACACAGCCTTGGTTTAAGTCCTGATTAAAACTCAGGTCCATGGTAGTGGATCATCAGACACAGGTTCAGAAGAATGGTTGAAATACCTTTGAAAACTGGTTTTAACTGGTTCAACACCCACATCAGAGGACTACTCCAGGCAAGGGACTCAGCACTGAGGTCAAGAGACAGGGAGGTCTACAGAAGGGCTAGAGTGGACCTGAACAGAGGCATCAAGGCTGCTAAGACAAAATACAGAGAGCAGATAGAGGCCAAATTCAGGGAATACCACTCCATGTGGAAAGGCATTCAGAACATCACAGACAACAGACAATGCCACTCCACCCCCTCCTCCACCGACACTTGGACCAACACCCTTTTCTCCTGCTTTGAAGAGGACAGCAGACAGGCAGAGGACACACAGCTGACACTTTCAGAGCACGACCAGCCCTCCACCATCCAACAACACCAGGTACTACGGGTCCTGCGAAGCATCAGCACCAGCAAAGCAACAGGACTGGATGGAGTACCAGGGAGGGTGCTGAAGTCATGTGCCCAATAGCTTGCTGCTGTATTCACCACCATCTTCAACTGCTCATTTCAGCATGCCACAATCCCCATCTGCCTGAAAACCACCACCATAAACCCTGTGCCCAAGTCCACTGCCATCACAGGGTTAAATGACTACCAGCCTGTGGCTTTGACACCGGTAATCATGAAATGTATGGAGAGACTGGTGTTGTAGCATGTCAAGGCCCACATCCCACCTGGCTTTGACCAACATCAGTTCGCCTACAGGTCCAACAGCTCCACAGATGACGCCATCTCCATCGCCCTCCATTCCGCCTTCAGCCACATTGAGAACCACAGGACATACCTCAGGATGCTGTTTGTTGACTTCAGCTTGGCATTTAATTGCATAAGCCCCAGCTGACTGATCAACAAACTGAAAACACTGCAGCTTAGAACCTCCATCTGTCTGTGGATAAAGGACTTCCTGACTAACAAACCCCAGCATGTCAGGATGGGCACCTCCACATCCTCCACCATCATCCTCAACACTGGTGTTCCCCAAGGCTGTGTCCTCAGTCCAGTCTTGTACTCATTGTACACCCACGACTGCGTTGCCACCCATGGATCCAACACCCTCATCAAATTTGCTGATGACACAACCATTGTTGGACTGATCAGCAATGATGACGAGACACCATACAGGGAGGAGGTCCAAGCATTGGCGGCCTGGTGCAGCGACAACCACCTCAATCTCAACACCAAGAAGACAAAGGAAATCATCATTGACTTCAGAAAAACAAGGACCACGCTGCACTCGGGCCTGAGTATCAACGGGGAAGAAGTGGAGCGGGTCAAAACTTTCAAGTTTCTCTGCCTGCACATCTCAGAAGACCTGGGCTGGACTGTGAACACCACCCACATTATTAAATAGGCCCAGCAGCGTCTCTTCTTCCTGAGAACGCTGAGGAGGAACAAACCCCCCTCACCTCCGCTTAAAAACTTCTACCGCTGCACAACAGATAGTGTCCTGACCTACGGATGCACGGTGTGGTATACCAGCTGCACTACACACGAGAAGAAACAACTGCAGCAGATCATTGGCTCCCCGCTCCCACGCCTGGAGGAGATCCATTCCAACCGTCTCCTCCAAAGGGCCAAAAAGATCAGAGATGATCCCGCTCACCCAGGACACACTCTATTCTCCAGCCTCCCGTCTGGCAGACTCAGAGTTCTGAAAGCCTGCACCAACTGGATGAGGAACAGCTTCTTCCCCATGGCTGTGAAGAGACTGTTGCAGGACTTAAATTTTATTGTATCCTGTACAATGACAATAAAGCTTCTTCTTCTTTAAATCAGTGTTGTAAACAACTGCTGGCTGCAGCTACACTGATGTGCACTTGATATTATCCGCAGTTGCGTTATGTTTATGATAGAGCTAACGGCAAAATATTGTCATCATAACAACACAGTGTTGGCATTAATCAGTTTGCCTGAAGGGTTGAACCGAGCGTTGCATAACTGTTTCTCATCCGTGGGAAAACACAAGGTTGACTTAGATTTAGTCACGCTCCCAGGAACTGGGTTTCTTCAAACTTGACCTTTCCCAATTGGCTGGAAAAGATCCAATCACATTCACATACTTTGACTCCTGCCCCCTGAGATACAGCTTTAAAAGATCAAGTTCTACTGAGGGGAAATCTTTGGTACTGTTTTACCCAGGTTGTTCTCTGATCACAAAACCAAAAGCAATTATATATTTATGTCAATTTTCTTGTGATAAAAAATTGTGTTGATCAATGTAAAACACTATAATTCATAGATATCGTTGTCTTAAAATATTATTTTTTAAGCAGTTAGTTAGTTAACTGCTTAAAACGTAAAGTCGAGATGTCTGAATTCAATGTTTATACTGGCATCCCTTGATCCAAAATATTTGTTTCAGAAAACAAGATGACAAATCCATTTTGAGCAATGAAGCATTATTCAATTTCACAGTAATGAAAAAAACTCTGTCGATTAATTTGTTCTGACTGCTGTCCTAGAAACTGACTTGGACTCTTACTCTATTGACATGGACCTAATCGTAACACCATAGCTGTTGGACTTGGAGTAATCTTTTTTTAATCCAGGTGAACTGGATGGGAAATCCTGGTGACGTAGCACAAACTGGGCTGGACTAAAACTGCTGTATGAACACACCACCATTCACTTCTTTTGGATCATTAATGGTAACAATCGTCCTCATGTGATGATGCAGGAAAAAATATGTTCAGGTTTTCTCCTTCTGTCTGTACAAATACATTGAAACATTACTTATTTTTACACAAAATAAATGTTTGGATTCAAACACTGGTGTCCTTAACCTAAACAAGTGGCCCACTGCTGCTGCCCACCAACTGAATGAATGATTCGCGGATTAACTGTGACCAAGATGCTGCTCATTAGAAAGACCTGGGTGTGGGAAAGCCCAGTATAGTAAAAGATGTTAGTAGTAGTTTTCCACTTTAATAATATTAAGTCTGTACATTCTGTTTAGGCCTCCTTACTGCAATGTTTGGTTTTGTGTACAAAAAGTTACAACCACGAAAGGCTGCAGTGCTACAAATACATTTAGCTTTATCAGCACACAAAAAAACTCAGAGTCCAAAGGTTGAAGGTGGTGCAAAGCACTTGAGGCGTTGATAATGGTGACTCTGATTACCGTGACCATTGCATGTTCTTTAGCAACTGACTCTATCGGTGCACAGATATGGTGCATGGGTTAAGGATTTGCCCATTCAAGGTTGTGGAAGATAATCCTCAGCACCACCTGACTCCACACTTCATTCAGTTAATTTTAGACCTGTGACTGAGCATTTGCGGTCGTGCAAATGCACAGCTGCTGAACTTAAAGTGGTTCCAGCTCTGAATTTGATCACTTACTATAAATAAAATCCAGTTCCTGGTACACTGTAACTGTAGTTATGCAATTTGAAAGGTGAACTGGTGCAGATTTAGAGATGAGCTCCATTTCATGCCACAGAGCTCATATAACGTATGATGTAAAATGACACTGATGCTGACGGTGAAGTTTTTTCCTACCTTATGATCAACACCTGACTTTTTTCTATTAAATTAAGTATTTCTCGCAGAGAAAAAGGCAACTCTGATATAATTTCACACAAAATTCATAAAATGGTTAGAAAATTATGTCAAATTCGCCTTTTTTTCGTTTTTTTTTTTTTTTCCAATGCACACAGAAAATAAACTGAATATATACCTACCAAAACGAGTAACGTTCAATAACTCAATAGAAGAAATGCTTATTTTCATGGAAAAATGTCAGGGGCCCATACACTTCCATCCAAGTCTGTAGGCCAATGTCAGAATTGTAAACGAGCTTATGCAATACTGTAAACCCTGCGCTAATTTAGTAAGGTACTGTTTTAAAACAGCTGAAAAATCACAGCGCTATTAGACATTCGAATTATGCGAAATACACATAAGTTCGCAGGCAACATGAGCAAGTTTTATGACTATGAAAATTACGCGAATTTAGTAAGGAACTGTTTTAAAAGAGCTGGAAAATTCGGAGGCTACATGAGCAAGTTTTATGACTATATGAAAATGACGATAATTCGCAGTAATGCAGTAGCTATTCAAACTGCATTCAGACACGATCTCAAACAAACAACAAACTAACCTTGGTTAATGGTCGGGTAGCAGAAAACTATGGCTTGTCTGCAGCGGCAAATTGGCCGATGTACACATGCGCAGTTAACTCGGGTAGGAAAAAACTATAGGTAGCAAAAAAACTCCAGAACACCGACAAGAGGAATTAGCCAGGTCCCCGGACTCGCCGCTGCTGTGTCAGCGCAGAGCAGGCACACTTTGCCCCCCCCCCCCTCTTGTGTTTATATGTTGCGCTGTCACGAGAGTCACGTGACGCGCAAAGCAAACAAACAAGCAAGTTGCCGGCTCAGGTTCATCAACACAAGCACAGAGAAAATACAACAGAAGAATGGCAGAGAGGAAGAGGAGCGCCGTGTGGCTGTATTTTCAAGTCGAAAACGAGACAACAGCAAAATGTGGGATTTGTAAAATGCTAGTCAGGTATAGTGGAAACACTACCAATTCACATAAACATATCCATAGCCATAAACATGGAGCTACAAAAACGGAGAGACGAGGAGAGAAAAAAGTTTGATATTTTTCTATTTAATTATAAACTGTGTCCTACTTTTGTCCTGGGTTTTGACTATTTAATAATAAAAAAGGAAACATCACAAAAAACACTTAAGGTCATGAAAATTAATTAAGATTTAGCAATTCAATGACGCATCTACCTTTATTTAAAAGTATCGTATCGGTATCGGCGATAGTGGCAGTAGATCAGATCGATACCAAAATATGCAGTATCGCACACCACTACTGTTTACCAAGAAAACTAAGCTCCTCTGACAAAAACAAGGGGCTGCGACTGCAGGGAGAGAGCAGTGTGGCTGATTTACTCTAAGCACAGGCTCCTCAACCACTGAATCTCCGTTCAGATTATACCGTCAGTCTTTGACTCCTAACACCGAGCAGCATGTCGTGGGTGACTTCAGCCTCACAGCTCTGCACAATGTTTCTGTCTCTGCACGCTGTTTTCCTGTGTGCTGTGGCCATGGTGGAAAGCAGCAGTGGAAACGAACAAGGTAAGAAAAAAATAGTTTTTGTCGTGGTAAGGTTTTACCACCCCGGATTCGTTGATCAAGAACTTTCACAAAGTATAAAGAAAAGACAAAAGTCGTTGCTCGAGTTCGCCTGTGCACAGGGAGGATCCAGCGGCGAGTCAGGGGATCGACTGCTGAATTCTGCTCTCTCCACAAACTCAGGCTCGTTTTATTGACACACACATCCAGGTGGTACATATCAAGCGATACAGACTTCATTTGTTCTACACACGCACATACATTTTTTTTGGCAACTGCATCTACACCGTTGGTTTCTCATCCTGTTCTTATCGCACCCAGGTGCTGTTGTTGTGACCTTGTGTTCTAACTATGAACCCAGCCATTGTCAAATTGTATTCTAAAAGTTTCTGTTTCCCATCACACCAAGTACTCCTCTTTTCACAACAAACCTTGGTTTTATCTCAACCTCGCAGCTCCTTCTCTACATCTGCATGTTTTCAGTTCTAGCTTTAAGCAGCATTTTATGTTCAAGCTGGTTATATGTTTTAGCACATCTCTTATGATCTTTTTAAAACATGATTATATATGTTGCATACTTCTATAAACTATGAACACATTTATTTGTATTTTGTTAATTTGTTTTTTTCTACCAAATATTTATTTAAAAACTCAAACTGAAAACCACAGATACTATTTTTCTTTGCTCTTCTCTCACCACCCAGTCCATGTGTTGCTCCTCTTATTTTAGACTGTATTATATCCAGAGGTGTGGAGTACAAAGGAGAAAAACAGAACTCCTCCTTGGGTCTGACCTGTCTGGTCTGGACCAG